ATGTAAAAAAAAAACATGTATTGCAAATAGTTATAGATAAACATGTTGTTTGTAGTTTTCAGGGTAAGTAAGACATATAATGTTTGAGCAGTCTGAAACCCATGGACATCTATAGACATCTATGGGACATCTATGACATGATGACACAGTGACTGGCATGTCCCTGACAGGATATTATGACATGTGAACTCAGTGCACATGCTGTCAGGAGCATTTACCTTAGATGATTCCTATTTTTATTTTCTCTGTTCAGTGCATCAGCTCATACTGTCAATGAAAATGCAATGCACATTTCTCAAAGATTGTGAGCTCTTTTTTTAGGTATTTTAGTTTTGTATGTATCTGTTTAGACTACACAGCATTTCAGTTCTTGTCCAGTCTTCCGGATGCGGTGACTTGGATCCTTTTTGTGGTTGTTCCTGCTAAATTATTTACATAAACCTATTTTGATTACTCAGGAAGGGCCTCTGGGCATCATTTCCCTAATTTTAACCATTCAGGTTATATTTGAGTGAGTTTCAAAGGGCACCTGACATTACGTGTATGTGTTCTGTCAGATGTGTGGGTTAGGTGCAAGAATATTTTATGACTGTTAAAAACTACATCTAGTTTGCTAAAATGTTGGGGTTGATGAGAAAATGTCTTTAATTTTCTTTTATGAGTTTATTGTCACTGAGAAATGAAAGATGAAGTCAGAGTTATGGATGAGGAACTAATTTCTTCTCGATTTCAGTGTTTTTTATTTAAGATTGGTCATTTAAATGCTGATCCTCTGGAGTTAATATTACATTGCGTTTGTTGTAAGATTCATTATTTTGTTTAAACAGCTCCCAAATCATGGTAGATGGTTGATTTCACATAGCATACAGATAACATATGTTAAAAAAAAAGAGATCTGTAGATCAGTTTTGCTGGCTGTTTCTTTTAAAACTTTAATCAACCTTTAATAAACAAGATTCCTTTCAGCATATACTTCACAAGCTCTAAGAACAGATTAGAGATTTTTCTTTTATTTATTTATTAGAGATTTTTCTTTTATTTATTTATTTATTTATTTTTAATCATTTGTAGGGGTCGAGGACATTTCTATAAGTAATTAACAAAACTGTAAAAGCCATTGGGTTGAATTCGCAATCCGACGGGACTCGGGCACAAATCATGTTCATGGATGAGCGAATGATTTATTAACGTAGTAGAATGAAGCAGGGTGAGGCTGAAAGCCGTCGAAGCTGAAACTTTAATCAACCT